ATGAAAAACTTTGCTCAAATTTTCATAGAAGTTGCATTAAACCTATAGATCAAGTTGGAGAGAATTGACATTGTTACTTTATTGAATCTTCCAACCCATGAGCACAGTATGTCTCTCCATTTCTTTAGGTCTTCTTTAATTTTTGCCATTAACATTTATAATTTTTAGGATACAAATCTCATACATGTTCTGATAGATCTTTACTTAAAAATTTCACTTCCTTTGAAACTATTGTAAATGTTACCTCTTATGTTATTGCTTCTTAGTTTCTGGAAACTGTTCATTGTTTTTCTTAGTTTATTTTCTATCTTCGTCATCTCCAGTCTTATAATGATCTCATCCCAGAATATTTTTAATTTTTATTTCATGTTTCAGTTCCAATAATGTCCATTCAGTTCTTTAAAAAAATACAATTTCTTTAGTGACATTTTCTATTTTTTTCCACTTGCTTCAAGATAATTCATAATTCTTATTAAGATGTCTGCTTTAGAATCCATTTCCGATAATTCCAATATCTGATTCATCTCAGGTTTGGCATCTCTTAATTGTTTTGTGTCATTCAGGTTGCAATTTTTCTTGTTCATTGTGCAACTTGTGACTTTTTATTGCATTCTGGTCATTTTTATATTACATTTAATATTTAACTTCTTTCTTTCTTTCTTTCTTAGCAGAGGGTTCCCCTGTTGTTACGTAGCAGAAGGGCTGGGTATGTATGTATTTTCAGCTTCTTGTGGGTTCCTCTATACCACTTTTGCAAATATTGCACGAGTATGGGATGGAAGTTTAGCTCCCTTCTTAAGTTTGCTGACACCTTCATCGTAAAAATAGGGTACTGACTCATACCACCTAATTACTTCAAAGTAGGAGTGAAGACTCATCTTACCACTAGGTCCCCTTGACACCAAGGATGTAAGGAGAGTTGAATAACATCTAGTCCTATCATGTTCCTCTTTGTTCAGTCTCATTGATGATGGATGGGGATGAAAGCTCAGCTCATCACTGGGTTTCACCAACATTAAGGGTAGAGGGAACCTGAGTGCTGACTAGCCCTGACTCACTCTACCTTGTTCATTGCTTCCAGGTCAATATCAGGGGGGGCAGAAGGAGAGGGTATCACATAGTGATCAATAGCACTACTTCACACCACCAGATGAATGTGGAGAAACAGTTCATTATTAGACCTTGCTGACACTACCCTACCAGGGGAATCAGAGCCACTGCTTGCTTCTGCCAGGTGTGGAATAGAAAATCAACTCTCTGTTCAGCATCGCCAATATTAATCTGCCAGGGGAATCAAAGCACTGCCTGTTTCTGTCAGATAGGACATAGAAGATCAGCTCTCCACTTGGTCCTGCCAACAACACACTGTCAGGGAAATAGGAATGCCATCTGCTTCCACTGTCAGTAGATGGAATATCAGTTCTCCACATTTGGGGCTGTTGATAAACCTTGTTTCCCACCACAAACCACCCCTCTTATTCCTTACCTAGATACATTTTGTGCTCCAGCCACAAGCTCTTGACCAGTTTGTCACATATCCTATGTCCGTGCATTCCTCTGTGCCTTTCTTCCAGCTGTTTTCTGCTTTGACTGAAAAGACCTCAGTACTCTGCCACCCTCTGAATATCTCCCTTTTGTCATTGTACCCCTTCAAGTTTTCTTTGATGATCTCCTCAGCCATAACAAATCACTACTTCCTTTGGGTCCCCCAGTGCGTTATTTGTACCTCTTTTTATGCCATAATTTGTCTTGTATACTGGAATTAACAGTGTTTATGTCTACTTCCACCACCTCTCCAGTTATAAATTATCACTGTATTGCCCAAATCTATTTTCATTAATGTTTTATTTATCCAGAAGTCAGGCTCCAGAAACTCCCAGCATTTAAAAGACTGCTCTGCAATGATAATGTATATCATTGAATATAATAAGTATTCTGATGGAGGCATCACATATTGCACATGAGTATTGATGTTCATCTCTGTACCACACAGATATGTACAATCAACTTCGTTACAATATAAATAAATAAATAAAATAAAAGACTGATCTGAAATTGGCTACAAGGTAAAAATCCTGCCACAGTCCTCCTTGGTTCACACTCAGGCCCTGATGAAGGGGGTCTGAGTGTAAAACTGAGCAAAGGTTCAGAGAGGGGGATGAACCAGGTGGTTTGTAGACAGACCTGGTAAGAGAAAAGAGCTTGTTTGAGGGAATGTCTGATTAGGAGACTACTGAATACTTACCACGTGCCAGTTCACATTCCAAGAGATTTATGTGTATTTATCTAATTTAATGCTCACATCTGCCCTTTGAAGTAGATTTTATTACTATCCACATATTGCAGGTTGCTGAGAAGCCATTTCCAAGCTCCCCCTTGCTTCAGTGTATTCTCGTAAACATTTTCATACTTCAGGATACATTTGTGCACAGGGTCAGTGATGTGGGTGTTTGCAGGGATAAAGCTGCAGTGGAGGGTTCTGAGTTACCAGGACTGTGGTCTTCTGAGGCTTGTGTAAGACTACTTGTTTCATTGGGGAAGATTTTTTTGAAATGGAGCAGGGCAGCTGAAAGCAGTTATTTATTCATTTAACAAACATTTTTGGAGTGCCAACTCTGTATAAGGTACTTGGGATACAAGATAAAAATCCATATTTGAATGAGTTTCTTGTCTAGTGGGAGACATACAAAATAAACATTTTATCAGTGTAATAAGGCCCTTTGAATACATAATGTTAGCTGATGATCTAAAACATTAGAATTATAATTTTAGAGAAGGAACAGTATTAGAAATTCTTTTGTCTCCTCAGGCTGCTTTGTGGGGTTGTAAGCAAAAATTCTTTCTAAGGCTGTAACCAAAGAGTCTGAGGGAATTGCTTGCCCTAGATTGTTTTGCCCTGTGGATGGTCATCTTCTCTCACCTTTTAACTGCTCTTCTAAGCAAAAAGAGCTTGGTGCATCTTGGTCTGAGGAATTATTTGGGAAACATTTGTGGAAACATTTGGGAAACATTTACACATACTTGCCTTCCAACTTTGAGTGTGCATATGTAAATTGTGTATATGTGTGAATATGTATACACCACTAAGTCATTCTAAAGAGTTTGAAAATAACTTTTAATAGATGTAGTTTTCTTGCTTCCTTGGCATTAATTTCTTGTGATATAATATTGGAGAATTATCCCAATCTCCAATGTCCTTGGCCTGGGAAACAGGGAATCAAAGGACCCTCACATGTTCTGCCCACCAAGCTATTAAAAGGTATGAGGACTGTTTTTAACCACTGACTTTGAAGGTAATGAAACATGGAGGCAGCCAGTATTGCCTGCTTGCAGCTTTCTCCCCTGATTTTCTTTGTTGCCAGGGAACTTGACTGCCTTTTTTTACTCATGATAATATGAGGCCTTCTCTCACCAGTGAAGGGTGGAGGAATGAGAATGAAGGCCCTAGACTTCCCTGATTTTTATTACCATTTTATAAGATTTACAGACATTCTCATCTTATCCATATTAATCCCTTACTATTTAATCCTTATTAATCCCTGTGACTTGAAGTAAGTAAAATTATGAACACTTTTTTTCCTATCTTTAGATTTTTCATATACAGATGCAGTACTTTTATAATCAGAAAAACAGCAAATATATACACAAAACAAACTCTTTTTTTCTCTGTCTACAGAAGTGGGGGCCACAATTTTGTCTCAGTATTCTGGTTTTTGAAGTGTTGTTTTTATCTCACATATGGAGCTCCATATCATTAAATATTCTTTGAAAACATGGTTTAGACAATCTTAATAAATCCATATATGAAGGTAAAATTGTTTTATTATTTATTCTTCTTCCATAGACCATTTAGTGTAAGTAATGGACCATCAAAGGAATATTACAAAGTCATACTATGGAACCATTAAAAAACATGTTTTCAGGGTATTTAACCTTGGAAATGCTCTTAGTATGAATGAGGAAAGCAAGCTATAAAAGTATAACATATGCTCCTGATTTTGTAAGATGTAAGTATAGATTTATTAACGAGAAAGAAATCAGCATTGTTAACATTTTGGTGTATATCTATGTGGTTCGAGTAAGGTTAGTTTCATCTCTTATTTCACTGAATTTCAGAAAATCCCCACAATGCCAGTACATGCCCTTTACATTCAGAAATTATATATAAAATTACCAGGAATGATTAGGTAGAAAACATAAAGGACAGTTATCAAGATGGTGGACTGCACACAGGCTTTTTCTTCTCTGGTCTCAAATCCCTTAAACTGAAAATACTTTGTGTATACAATCTCTCTCTCTCTCTCTCTCTCTCTCTCTCTCTCTCCACCCCCTCTCCCTCCCTCCCTCCCTCTCTCTCCCTCTCTCTCCCTCTCTCTCTCTCTCTCTCCCCCCGCCTCGTGTGTGTGTGTTTTGAATATATACATTGAAACAACAAAAAAGGTTTGTGAGGAATTCCTGAAAGATAGAAAGCAGATGGAGCCGCTGTGGAGGAGGCTGGCGGGCAGCAAGCGGCCAGAGAGGAGGGGAGCGAGCCTATCTGGCTCCCGCTTGAGGGAAACGGTCGCAGGGCGGGGGCGGGCGGAGGGGCGCTTGAGGAAATGAAGGAGAAAGCGCTTATGTCAGTCCTGACTGAACGCGGACTCGCTGACCTGCCCCGCCGCTGCCGGTGGAGCGGAAGGCGGGATGGCGGGGGGTGGGGCCGAGGCGCAGGCGGGCTTAGAGGGGCGGGTTCCCCAAGCGGCAAAAACCGCGGCGCCAGAACAAGGCCAAGCAGACTAGCGCTGCCGAAGCCCAGGCCGCGCGGACTTCTCAGAAAAGTCCTTTGCAGCTGCAGCCATCCGTTTTATCCCTTGCCTACCTTCCTTGTCGTCTCCTTCTCAGTCGCCGTGCCGCAGCAGCAGCAGCATTGACTACAAAAGCTAAGTGGCCGATTCGGGAACTTGGGGTCGGGAGTCGGGGCGGGCTCAAGGCGCGGACAGTACACACGAGCCCGCCATCTCTTACGGCAACCTCCACTGCTGCAGCCACCCTTCCCGGGAGGGAGAGGAAAACATTGTCGTGAGGGACACGCTGTCCCAGTGCCCAAGGTCAGAGTTAGAGCGTTTCTGCCAAGCCCTGGTGGGAGCCTTGCACTTGGAGAAGGGAGGACAGATCCGGTCTTTGAGATTGCGGGAAAAGCCCTCATATTGGATTGTGTTGACTTTTTGTCAGCTTAATTGAGCAAAGCGTCAGCTTTGCCCAAGCCCCCATAAACCCTGAGCCATGTCTCCTCCGACCGTGCCTCCGATGGGGGTAGACGGTGTGTCCGCATACCTGATGAAGAAAAGGCACACCCACAGAAAGCAGCGGCGCAAGCCCACTTTCCTCACTCGTAGGAACATCGTGGGCTGCCGCATTCAACACGGCTGGAAGGAAGGCAACGAGCCCGTAGAGCAATGGAAAGGCACCGTACTCGAGCAGGTTTCCGTGAAGCCCACTCTCTACATTATTAAATATGATGGCAAAGATAGTGTATATGGACTAGAACTACACCGAGATAAGAGGGTTTTGGCGTTAGAGATCCTTCCTGAGAGAGTGCCAACTCCTCGCATCGATTCGCGCCTGGCAGATTCCCTGATTGGCAAGGCAGTGGGGCATGTGTTTGAAGGCGAGCATGGTACGAAAGATGAATGGAAGGGTATGGTCCTGGCGCGAGCCCCGGTGATGGATACTTGGTTTTACATTACCTATGAGAAAGATCCGGTCCTCTATATGTACACGCTGCTGGATGACTACAAAGATGGTGACCTGCGCATCATACCAGATTCCCACTACTATTTCCCTACTGCAGAACGGGAGCCTGGAGAGGTGGTCGACAGCCTCGTGGGCAAGCAGGTGGAGCACGCCAAAGATGACGGGTCCAAGAGAACCGGCATTTTTATACATCAAGTGGTGGCCAAGCCGTCTGTCTACTTCATTAAGTTTGACGATGATATTCACATTTACGTCTATGGTTTGGTGAAAACCCCCTAAATTCATTGTGCTCTTTGCAAAACTTGTGGAACTATTAGATGTAAGATATTTCATGTTTTCATAATTGTGAACTTTGCGAGCACTTGAGGTGTCAGAAATTCAGGAAAGTGGATACATCTTATTGTGCCTCAAAATCTTACATTGACTAGTTCCACAATTTTGCCCCAAGCGTTTTTCGGTACTGTTGATGTTGCCTTGTCCTGTAACTGAAAATTTAAATTGGGTGCTAACAGAAGATTAAGAACTGTTTGCAACCATGGGAACAATGCAAAAGTAGATTAAGAAAAATTAATGGTGTAACTCCATGCCATGTCCTTCCCCCCTCCTTGCCTTACCTTCTCCCTTTCTTCCCAGTTAACACGTGTCATGGTGTATATTCTTCCATGTGTTTCCTCCATACTCATAAGAAAGTCCGTTGTAGTATTTTCTGTAAAAATGACAAGCCACATGTATTTCCCTGTAATCCCTTTGGCTTATAGATGACATCCCTTCTGATCAGTAGCTGCAGTCTCTCTGTTTCTGTCTCTCTCTCTCTCCCCCCCTTCCCTCCCTCCCTCTAACAGCTGCATATGCAGTACAGCAGTACATATAGATGTACCAAAAAGTATGCAACCATTCCGTTATTGATGGTCATTTATTTCCTTTTTTTTTTTTTTTCCCCACCATGCCACAGTTGTAATACATACTGGGACTTTTATTTCTATAGGTTGGATTCCCAGAAATGCTAGGTAGGTGTATGTTTAATTTTAAGAAATATTACAAGATTACCATCCAAATGAAAGTGCCCATTTCCAGCATCTTCCCCAGCACTCTTTAATGCTTGAAAATCTGAAAGGAAAACAATTACATTGCTTTGTTATTTTAATTGGTTTTTACCTGACTTCAGTGAAGAGGTTTTTGTTTTTGCTTTCCTATTTGAACTTTCCTCTCTTGTGATTTGTCAGTTCCTACCCTTTGCTCATTTATCTGTTGAATCATTGATCTTTTCCTTATAAATTTGTAGAAATTCTTACTATATAGAGCTTATTAATCACTTGTAGCTCATGTTTTATGGATTTTTGCATCCTATTACTAATCTTGACATTATTGATATCTTTTACTTTACAACTTTCAAACTTTCTAGGTAGACCACTATTTTTTTATGGCTCTTTGGTTACCTTTTTCAGGGGGATGCCCCCACCTGAAGTCATGCAAACATTCACCTACATTTTTTTCTAATAATTTTATTATTTTAAAAGTTTAAATGTTTGATACTCTGAAGTTTATTTTTGTATATGGCATAAAATAGGGATCCAACTATACATTTTGTTCACAGTGGATGCCTGATTGTGCCATTTATTTAGAAAATCATCCATTTTCACATTTCTGAGCCAAGATCAAATAGTTTTAATTATAGTAGCTTGACCATAAGTCTTAGAATCTGGTAAAGCAAGTCTCCCTTCATTAACTTTTTTCTTGTCTATAATTTGTCTTAGACATTCATTCTTTCATATGATAATTGAAAGCATTTTTTCCATGTTTAAAAAGACTGATGTCTTAATTCGAATTTTATTAAATTTCTGCATTACTGATTAGAGGATTGTTTAGTAATATTAATCCTTAACACTTCAAGAGTTTTGGTATATCATTGAAATCTTTTGGTCTTATTTTTGCAAGACTCTTTATGTACATCCATCATATCTAATTGAATTTATTTATAAATAATTTTAGCTTTTGTCACTTTTTGACATTTTGAATTTAGTATTTTTTCTTCATTTTAATTTGTTATTTTTGGCAATATAGACAAGCCTATAGATTTTTGTATTTTTATCTTTTTATCTAATGAGCTTATTTAATCCTCTAAGTTACAGTGGGTTTATTAAAATATCATATTTTGGACATTGTAGATATACAGTCATTTTACCTGCAAATAGAGATCATTTTATTTCTTATAATGTTTATACTGATTATCACATTAGCTGGATTCTCCAAAACAATATTCAATAATAATGAGGACAGATATGCCCATCTTGTTCTTAATTTTCATGGAAATGTCATTAGTATTCCATATTAGTATGAAATTTGCTGTTGGCTATTGATAAATAGTCATTAACATTTAAGAGTTCTTTCTGTTCCTGTTTTACATACTGTTATTGCTAGAAGTAGCTCTTAGATTTTATCAAATGTCTTTTCAGCATCCATTGATAAAACAATACATTTTTTTTTCCTTTAATCTGTTGATGTAATGCATTAGAATGATGGGTATTTGATGTTGAAACAAACCTGTAGTTCTGGAGTAAATCCTATTTGATCATGGTGCAATAGTTATTTGCTATTTTGCTGGATTTTATTTACCAATATTTTATTTAGAATTATTGCATTTACACTCCAAAGTGAAATTGCTTTTTTTCTTGAGCTGTCTTTATCAAGTTTTGTATTAAAGTTGTGCTTGCTTCAAAAAATATGAATTGGTGGGTTTTCAGTCTTTATCTGTGGTCTGAAATAGTTTAAATGGCATTAGAATTATTTGTTCTTTAAAAGTTAGCCAATAGTAAATTGTATAAAAATCAAATTCTGGTTACACTTTTGATGGTAGATCTATAATCAGATTTCTGATTTCTTCAAGGGTAATTGGTTTATTCAGCTTTTTATTTAAAAAGGAATATATATTCTCTGTGAAATACAAAGTTCAAAGTTGGCTCTTTTGAAGTTTATTGATTATATTATTCAGATGCTTTATGTCCTTGTGTGTTTTATGTCAACTAGATCTGTCCAACTCTGAAAATGGTGTAGTTAAAATCATCAGCTATAATAGTATTTTAAATTCTATTTGTATTCTTTTATGTATTTTAAAAAATTAAAACAAAATGTGAAATACATGACAAACGTTTGCTTTTTCCAAATTAACAAATGTCAACATTTTGGCACATTTGCCAAATAGATATAGATTTATATTTGTAAACATTCAGAACATTACAGATAATAAATCTCTTTTATTAGTAGTACCATCCCACTTCCTTCCTCTGCAAAGGCAGACACTGTCATGAATTAGGTGTGAATCTTGCCCATATTTTATATATTTACTACAAATATAACCATAACTGATAATAGTATTGATTTGTGTGTGTGTGTGTTTTATTTCAATATGAATGGTAAACTTTAAACCATGTGGGATTTATTTTAGTTTTTGCTGTAAGGATCTGTTTTTCTTTTCCAATCAGAAAACAGACTGCAAGAACCAAAACAACCAACAGCACTGACCTTAGAATGCTACTTACGTTTAGGCACTTTTACCATTCCTGACACTCAGAAGATTGAATAAAAAAGACAAAAATCTCAGTTCTCACGAAACTTGCATCCTGGCTGTGGAGAGGCATATATTCAGCACCCATCCCTGACCTCTAGACCACACACAGGTCTTATATTGTCCCATGATGATATTGGGGTTATCCCACATTCTGACAATCAGAGGGAAACTAGCCCTAATCCTGGCACTATTTTAAGAGTTTGGACATAGCGTTAAACAAAAAAATCTTCCTTCCTTAGACAACAACAACTACTACATATATATATATACACACACACACACATACATACATACATACATATATATTTATATATATACACATATATGTATGTATATATATATATATAAAAGATACATATGATTGCTTCCTAGTTCCTGCTCTTCCACTAGGCCTCAAGTCCTGATCTGCCAATCATATTGTTCCATGATGATATTGGGCCATAGAGTAAAAGACAGGTTTAGCTCTGGCTTAGGGCCTGGGAAAAGAACTGAACTATCCACACAAAATCCCTTCTCTTTTAAAGGATATATCCTAATAGTCATCACCACCCTTACATCTTTGGCCCATAATTGTCTCACGGTGATTTGGAGATATCCTACAAATCACTGAGAACAAGGTTTGACCTTAGTTCTAACTCTGTTTTAGAGGTTGAGGGTACAAATTTGAGCTAGTTGGAGAAAAACAGGAAAAAAAATCAGTGTAGAATACTGTGTTCACCAACTATGCCTTTACCCTCTAACATTCTGGGCTCCTGGACTAGAACAAAGTTTCAGATTCTTCTATGTTAATATTACTGATATCACACCAACTTGTTTGAGTCAGAGGGAGTCTCACTGTTGACCAGGCAGTGAAAAAACTGTCAAAGACTCTGCTCTCTTGGAGTTTATATCCTATTGGGATAAGACAGTCATCCTCTCCTCTATGGGCCCCCATTCTAGACTCAGGTCTCATATTGTGGCATGGCAATGTTGGAGTTCTCTCATATCCTGGCACTAAATCAGAGGGAGGCTTTACAATGGTTCTGGCACTGTTTTAGAAGGGGAAAATGGCCAGAAACAAAGCCCTTGCTTCCATAGTGTTTATAACTTACATTATCATAGGTGGAGACAGATTTTTATCTCCTTCCTCTCAGCGCATTGTGCATCCATCAGGCTGTGATGATTGCTTTAAAAAAGTAAAGCAGGGTAAGTGAACAGAGTAATAGGCTTGGGTCCTGGGGGTGCTATTTTATATAGGTAGACAGAGACAGAACAGGTAACATTTGAGTAGAAACCTGAATAAAGTGAGGGAACAAATGTTGCTTGATGCCTTGAGATGGAATGTGCCTGGAGATTTCTGGTAACAGCCTAGTGTGGCCAAATTAGAAATGAGAAGGAGGAGAATGGTAAGAAATGAGATCAGAGAGCTAATTAGGGGCCAGATTATTGTACATTTCTATGTACTACTGTTAGGAATTTGGTTATTAACCTTTGGGAGGTGGGAAGTCGCCAGTTTTGAGCAAAAATGTGACAATTGTCTTTATATCACTTATTGAATAATCTGATTTGAAATGCCTCTTTCATCATCTAACAAGATCTAGTTTGTGCTTCGTCTATTTTGTCCCATTAAACTATGTGTCTTTTCCCTTTAGAGCCCTACCTCTTATGTATCCATGCCCTGGCTCTGCCAGTTTGCTAACTCTGACTCTTAGCTTTCATCAGATAAGGAGCTTGGAGGGAGATGAAGTCAAAATGAACATTCAGGTTTCCATAGCTCCAAAATTCAACTGTATATTCGTGAATGATGTAAAAATGTCAGCAACTGGTTACTAGGAAATTACAGGAGCAATTCAGACAGACATTTGTAAGCTAATAATTTTGGAAATGAATATTAAGGGACACTATAAGGAGGAAGTAATATTGTGGCTGATTAACTCTGTAAGGAAAGTGACTACATAATTAGAGGGCTCAAGGATATCTGCAGGAATCAGAGAATTAAGTTGTGGGAATAAGCAAAATTTTGAGAGTGTGAGTTTAAAAGGAAAGAACATAGGAATATATCTTCATGTTTTAGTCTGTAGTTGAACAGGCTCA